GTAGCTACACTGAACTGCAGATCTCAAATGCCCAAGAGAGTAAGGATTACCCTGTTTCCCAGAAAATAAGACAGTGACTTATATTAATTTTTGCTCCCAAAGATGTGCTAGGTCTTATTTTCAGGGGATATCTTATTTTTCCATGAAGAAGAATACAGTACACATTTATTGTTAAATGAAAATAAAGGAAATTTATTACCTGTATACATACGGTAGTACAGTAGTTGTCAACACAAACCAGAAAAACTGTGAATCCTACAGGATCAAGAATTTACTTTACTCATTTATTCAATGACAATCATGTCATCATCTTCTGGAACATCATAATAACAATCCAATTCCTGAACTTTCTGGTGAATTTTTTGTGACTCCATTTCTTTCAGAATCAGTGGACCAAATCTCTCATGTTTAGCCTGGGGGGGGGGGGGGGCTTATTTTTGGGGGGATACCTTATATTTCACTTAGAAGGAAACCTGTAAGTAGGTCTTATTTTCGGAGGATGTCTTATTTTCGGGGAAACACGGTAGAAAGGACTATTAAACCAAAAATAAGGCAAGTAAGGATAAAACCAGGGAACATATGGTGAATAGAAGGTGAAATGCACCAAAAATGACAAAATACTCTTTAGGTAGGCATGAAGTGAAAGGATGACTGAGAAAACAGTCTCTTCATTAGGTGCCAAGAAGAGAATTGGCAACAAAACCAAAAGCAGAGTTCAGTTGTTTGTAAAGAACATTTAGCATTCATCATAAATATAGTGTATAAGTTAGAAAACGGAATAGGAAGCAATTTGCTTGAAGGGCAGGAAAACAAACTAGTCTTGACAATAAATTGATCAAAGGTCATTGAAATAAACAGACGCTGATGACTTTCAAATTAGAATGCCAATTACTGATGATCTTGGATCCGATATGCTAAAAGTAACACCTTATAGTAGAAAACCATTCTTTTTAATATATATGTATGTGTGTATATATATATATATATATTATTGATTTTTTTTTTTTTTTTACAGAGGAGAAGGGAGAGGGATAGAGAGTTAGAAACATCAATGAGAGAGAAACATCGATCAGCTGCCTCCTGCACGCTCCCTACTGGGTATGTGCCGGCAACTAAGATACATGCCTTTGACTAGAATCAAACCTGGGGCTTTTGAGTCCACAGGCCGATACTCTATCCACTGAGCTAAACTGGTTAGGGCTAGAAAACTATTCTTAATGATTTTTGAGGGGAATTTGAGTGAAGAAATGTGGAAATGTGGATAGCAATTCTATCACCCTTTCCTTATGGCATGAAGTTTAATGTCTTGAACCAATTTTTAAGTAGATGCCTTATAGACACTAAGGATGTCCATTAATAATAATAAAAAAAAATCAGTAAATGTTATTTCAAAAAAAACCTTGGTTAGTTTCCCAGGGTTGCTTTATCAAAGTACCACAAAATGCTTGGCTTAAAACATGGATATATATTTCCTCACTGTTTTGGAGGGCAGTAGCCCAAAGCCCAGGTGTCCATAGAGACATGCTTTATCTGAAACCAGTAGGAAAGAATACTTCTTTGCCATCTCCCTGCCAGCTGTGCCCAGTTTCTTATGCCGATTCTTTTTTTGTTTTGTTAATCCTCAGCTGAGGATATTTTTCCATTGATTTTTAGAGAGAGTGGAAGGGAGACGGAGAGACAGAGAGAAACATTGATGTTAGAGAGTCAGAGACATTGATGTGAGAGAGACATTGATTGGTTGCCTCCTGCAAACACCCAAATTCAGGGGAACCTGCAACATGCCTTTGATCAGAATCAAAGCTGGGATCTTTCAGTCCATGGGCCCACACTCTATCCACTGAGCCAAACTGGTTAGTGCTCTTGTACCCATTCTTTCCCCTATTGTATGGGAGGAGGGTTTTACTTCCTCTGAAAGTGGTTAGAAGATGAAACAATTGGTTCAATTTGCAGGATATATAGTTTTTCTGATTAAATCTATTGGTGATACATGCAAAATATATCAAAAGCAAGCAACTATTTAATTTGAGAATTTTATGTTTACATGTTATTTCTGCTATTCAAATTACTAGTATGAAAATTCTGATTTAAATTTTAGTCAAGTTACATAGGCCAAGCTCTAAAAAATGTAACCACTGATGCTATGTTTATTAATGGAGGTATCATTTGAGGAGTTTCCAACCAGAATATATATACTAAATGGTCTTGATAAAATATTCTTATCTAAGTTTTTTTTAAATCAGTAGTTAATACACAATATTGCGATGGTAAGGGCTGCATGCTATAAGGCCAGGTGCTTAACTGTGAGGGGCACAGGCTCTGGGTTGGTATTCCTCTCCATCACCTGTTAGCTGGCTGGCCTTGGCCAGGTAGTTAACTGTTCTGAGCCTATGTTTTCTCAATTGTAAATTGGAATGGCTAATATGGCTCTGAAAGTTTGTTTTGAGAATAAAATGAGATAATTAATCTAAAACAGCACACCGACTGGCACTTAGTAATTTTTTAGTGAATGGAGGTGATTAATAATAATGCTAATATTCAATAATGTCAGATAATTTGGGATTTGGTATAAGCATCAGTTTCAGGGTGGCAGGATCATCAGTTTTATTTGCGTTAATTAAATTGTTACAGTAATGCATTAAAAGGTTAGGAGAGGGATAGGGAATAAGAAAATTTGTCTTTAATTGGTTGGCATGTCATATTGGAAAAAAATCCTTTTATTTTAATTTCAAAGGATAAGTATAATTATAACAGGTAAGTTCCAGTGAAACAAAAGACTATTAAAGCCTCCAAATTGTCCCTCAAATAACTGTCAGAACTTGGTGAAATGCTCCCAAGATATTTTAATTCTAATTTATTAGTGTCTGATTTCACTATTCAGCTTAGTATAACATCAGTAAAATGTCAAGGATCCTTCTAATATTCTTACTTTTAGTACTAAATAATTTTATGAGTAAAGGAGATGGCCTCATACAAATCAATGAAAAAAGATGAAGCTTCTAACAGATGAACAGATAAAGCTAATGAATAGATGACTCACACAGGAAAAGTAAAACTGGAAAATAACCATGAAAAGACAAATGTTCTATGTAAAAAGGGAAGTAAAATTAATACAGCCATGTATCTACTTTATTTCTTGCATATTTGATAGGAAAACTTTTTGCTGAGAGAATCAGGGTCAAGTGACATTGATTGCTTACCAACATTATTGATGGCAGTAAAATTGGTGCAACCCTTTTAAAGGCAGTTTGAGAATATGTATCAAGAATCAGATAAATGCCGAAGCCGATTTGGCTCAGTGGTAGAGCGTTGGTCTGTGGACTGAGGGGTCCCGGGTACGATTCCGGTCAGGGGCATGTGCATTGGTTGCGGGCGTGTCCCCGGTGGGGTCTGTGCAGGGGGCAGCTGGTCGATGTTTCTCTCTCATCGACATTTCTGGCTCTCTGTTTCTCTCTCTTCCTCTCTGTAAAAAATCAATTAAAAAAAAAAGAATCATTCTTGTTGAACAAGCATGTAATTTGGAAATTAAACATAAGAAAAGATTACAAAGATAGAAAAAGGTATATGCAGGAAAATGTTCTTCATAATGCTATTTAAAATTAGGAAGATTAGAGGCAACACTAATGTCCACCACCATGGGGGAAATAGTTAATCTTTCAGAGACATGTTGTGCAGTCAATACATAAAATACATATGTACATATGTAAAACTTAAAATTGTTTATAGTAATGTTAATTGAGAAAAATAATAAACAATTATTTGTACACCATAATTAAAGTTTTATAAAAATATTCATGAAAAAAAAACTTGAAGGAAATACTGTATAATAGTGATAATTACTAAGAGAGGTGGTATCATGAAATTTTTTTCCATGTTTACATTTTCCAAATTTCCCTTGCTTTATATTTTATATAAAATGTTTTATAAAATTTAAAAAAGAGCATTCTCACCTCATTGAGATTTACTGTTGTGTAAATATATTCTTGCCTTGTGGACAAATTTTTCTTGGCCTACAGGGCAAAAGCTGAATGCTTAAATAGGTATTAATTAGCCCTAGATTCAGCAGTAGGAGAGGATGAAGATGTCAGAGGTTAATACAAATTTTGATTGGGATAATTTATACAATGAAAATTCATGTCCATGCTATTCTGGCAAGTTTTCCTTTAAAACAAGGTTAAGAATTTTTTTTAAAGGCCAGGAATGGCAGTAATTTTTAATAATGAAAAACTGATAGAAAAACATTTCTGTACATACCAACTACTTCTATTTTCTGTGATTACTAACAGCATAAGTACAGTTCATTTTTTGTGATCTGTAACTTAATATACTATTTTTCTGTCAAAATATGTGAAAATTGAGATTGCATTTAATCTTCCAAAAATGTTTCCCTGAATAAATAGAGAGGAATCATAAACCTGCTACAGTGTTTGGAGAATAATTTATAAAGTCATGAAAACTTTTAAAAATTTAATAAGGTATTACAAATGTGTCTTACTCCCCCATTGTCCCACCAATCCCCCCAGTCCTGCCCTCACCCTCACCCCCTGTTGTCTGCCTCCATAGATTATGCTTATATGCATGCATACAAGTCCTTGGTTGATTGCACCCTTACCTCCATCCTCCCCTACTTTCCCTCTGAGGTTTGACAGTTTGATTGATGCTTCTCTGTCCCTAAATCTGTTTTTGTTCATCAGTTTATGTTGCTCATTATAATCCACAAATGAGTGAGATCATGTGATATCTTTCTCTGACTTATTTCACTTAGCACAATGCTCTTCAGCTCCATCCCATCAGCAGATGAGTGGGATTAAAAATCCAAAAAACAAAAAAAACTTTGGCACATCTACACGATGGAATACTATGCTGCTGTAAAAAGGAAGGAACTCCTATCATTTGCAATAGCATGATTGAAAACTTTTTTAAGTTCACCAAAGACCTACTTTAGGCCAAACCTTTTAGAGACTTATGGATTGAAAGCCCCTCCCCTCCCATCATTCACAAGTTCATAATTCCCAGTGTCCTAGTGTGTCTGTTATGAAGGTGGGGTCTCTGAGGAAGTAATTAAGGTTAAATCAGGTCATAAGGGTGTGGCCATGGGAGCTCACCAAGAAGGCAGCTGTCTACAACTCAAGAGGAAAGCTCTCCCTAGACACCAACTGGAATCTTCTTCTTGGACTTCCAGGTTTAGGAACTGAGGGAAAATGCACGTCTGTTGTTTAAGCCATCGAGTCTGTAGTAGTTTGTTACAGCAACCTCTGGCAGACTAATAGAGTGACCTTGCAGGGGATCAGGCACATGATTTCTCAACTCCTTTAAACATACCTTCTCTTCAGCTTCCATGAAACTATGTTCAAATGCTTTCCTTCTGTTTTTCTCTTCTCACAGTATATAGTCATCTCTGTAAAATATCGTTAATATTTTTATACTTTATTATGTAATAACAACTGTTCTAAGTGGCAGTCCTGGGATTGGAACCCAACAGACTAGTTTCATAGCACAGACATTTTATCACCATTCCCTGCTGTTTCTTACAGTGCCCCTCAGTGCAAAGAGTGCCTGAAAACCCAAAGGTGAATCAACGAGAGCAGTCATTGCTATGAAAAATCCAGAAAGTGAAAGCTACACAGCTCTTTGGTTAGTTGGTATGATAGGAGGAGATGTTTCAGAAGACCTAGAAGACCAATAGAATAAAAAATGACTTAAGAACAAATTTCAAAATGGTAATGACAAGTTTCTGGTGATATTCTCAAACAAGATCTTGCTGATCTAGGGCAGTGTGGGCCATGTTTGTAGTTGAAGGAGACATTTGATTTGGTTTTTGGGAACACTGTTAATCAGCTTCACTAATTGTGAGGCTTCAGGTCCTGAGCTTTGTTTCCTTATCTCTAAGGCAATAAATAATACTGCCCCATTCATAACTCATTCAATACTCACACGAGGAAATTGTATTAAGGCTCTTAGCACAGCACACAGTGTAAATGCAGGCAGAATATAGGATTGGAGTTCTGTTCTGGAATAATGTGTCTGACAAGAAACCACATGTCAGTGAGCAGAGGCAGTGACCTTCAGGCAGGTCAACTTTTTTTTTTTTTTTTCCTAAGAAAATTACCTCAGGTCACTTCAACATATGGCAAGGAACTGCCATTTATTACCTGGTTAACCTTGAGCAATTACTGAACCTCTCTGAATCCCGGTTTATTGATCTGTTAAGCAATGATAATGTGATTTACCTTGCAGAGTTTTGATGAGGATTAAAATTGGATAATAACATCTTTAGTCACTAACCTACTCTGTTATTTCTTAAGTATTTGATAACATTTACTAAATGTTATTGCTGGAAAAGTCTTTGGCTGTTATTTTTCCAGTATTTATTTTTATTGTCATCTTACTTGGAATTTAGTTTCTTTTTTCTGCCATTAATTGGGATAACATAATTATGGAGAGTTTAATTCACAAGGTTTAGAAATTAGAGGAAGTTTATCAAAGATATTTTATCCTGAAAAGTAAGAGAGGAGACAAAGAATTTTATAAAATAAAATGTAAGCTGGCAGGAAGAGATATTTCCATTGGATTAAAGTGAGGCCAAATTGAGTAGGAATAGGCTTCATCACTGACATTCCAGAAAGAAATCAAGTATTTGAGCAGGGACCTGTAAGATAATTTGTCATTTTGGACTTTTAAAGTAGGAATTAGGAAAGCAGTAGTGAGCAGTTGATTGACATTGGAAACTGGTGTTCTCAAGAGAAGCTATTCTGTTTCTTCAGTGGAGGTAACCTTCTCTGCACAAGAACCATAAAGGATCATATTTGGTGTTAACATTTGTTTCAGGAAGAAAAATGTTGTATTACTTCCCTTGAATTTTTTTGATGTCTCACATAATGAATTATTTGTGTTCAAAGGAACTAAAAATTTACTTAATATAAGCCCCTTTCTCTAACTAGGAATTTTTATAAACAACACCAGGCAGATGGATCAGCTCAATGAAGCAGACATCTTTGAAGACTTCCGATGAGCTAGGTACTTGTTCAATGTTTCATGACATAGAATAGGGAATACAACACAAGTCTCCTTTGCTAAGGAACAATAAAGATAGGAACCCAAATGAATGGGGGCAGGAGTTCTCAAAATTATCATAGTACCAAGGCTATAGATGCTATAAATTACCAGTGTACACAAAGTGCTTTGAGAACACCAAGGAAGAAATGAATGTTCTTAGGAAGAGATAGAAGAAGCTTCATAACACATGTGACACTTGAGCAGGAATCTGAACGTTAAGGACTATATCAGGTAAAGAAAACATTATATATAATAAAAGGCTAATATGCAAATTGTCTCTGAGAGTTTGACCAACCTGGAGTTCGACTGCTTGCAATGACATGCTCTGTCCACCAGGTGGTGGCAGGAAATGAAGGAAAGCCCTAGCAGGCAGCTTGCAGAAGGTCCTGATCAGCCTTGATCTCTGGCCATGCTTAGGGACCCTACCTGTGCATGAATTTTGTGCACCAGGCCTGTAGTTATGTATAAAGATATACATGCTGTGAGCCATCCAAGATGAGAACCCTGGACTGCCTCCATGTCTTCTTGGTTGCCTGTGAGGAATGACAAGAGAGGAGGCTGTAGACAGGTTGGGAAAGGACTGCAGAATGCCTGGGTGGTTTCCACTTGGGAGATGGAATGGATCTAAGGGCAAAAAGACGGAGTGGGTTTTAAGAGAGAGAGGGTAAATGGGTTTCAGTGTTTTAAAGTGGCATATTGGGGAGAGAGGAGGAGAGTGTGGTAAAAGACAAATGAGGAACAGTTTGAACTCTTGGACCAAAGGAGAAAAAATTGTGACTAAGATGAAGAAAGAAGGAAGGCTTTGAGAGGAACAGTCAGAGAGATAGGAAGATAACCTGGGAAGTTGGGTATTAATGATATCAGCGAGGGCTTTGAGGAGAGAGCATACCACATTAACATGATCTAGGGAGACATCAAATAGGGTAAGAATAGTAAGTAGGGGTCACTTGTGACATTCCTGAGAAGGATTTAAGAGAGATGAGAGCAAAAGCCAGGGATGATGAATAAGTGGGAGGTGAGGCAGAAGTATAGGCAGAACATACCACTTTGTTAAGCATTTTTGCAGGGAGAAGAGGAAGAAGGGAAAGAGAGTTCTGAGGAAAGGGCTTGTGTGTATATAGATCCAGGAGACCTGAACATTTCGTGTTTGATCTGAGAGCTAAAGGCAGGAGGAGGGGGAATGCAGGTAAGGATACGGAGAGAGAAACATTTATTGAGGAATTTTCCAGAAGAGGTGATGGAGAGTGGGATAAAGACTACAAACAGGAGGAATAGTCCTTGAAGAAACAGCAAGACACCTTTTCCTCTAAGACCGGATGAAAAGAACAAAGGGATCAATAAAGGAGGAGAGTGGATTGCATGAATGCCCTACTTTTTAAATTCTCTTACCAAAAGGAGCATTTGCTAGCATTTATTCTATTCTATTCTCTTTTCATGGAATTTTTTTTACTTTAATTTTAAAGGAAATGGAGATACCATGTTAATAAATAATTGCAAATTTGCAGAAAACAATTTTGCCCATAGCTCTAGCATGTGCTGGTTTAGAACTGGCTTTCTTAGGGGGAGAATTCCTGGCCACACATCTTTTCAGTGTGTTTCTCATATCAATCTGTGATCAGCATTAAGGGCCTGACTGGAGTTTATGTTTTATTGGTTATACTGTAATTTGTAATAACTGTAATTTCAGGAGTCATTAAATACATTCACTGTACAAAATAAAAATAAAATAATACATGGACAAGGAACCAAAAGCTACAGATATTATCGTTTTAAGTTCTTACTAGGTTGAACCATTTTTGGTCAACAAAAGCAATTTTATACAGCTCAGTATGATTATAATGTCAAACTCACAAGAATATTTGACAAAATATATCCTTTTAGTTAATACTAACGGGAGGCAGTGTCCACATAGCATAGGGGCCAGGGCTGTGACACTAGAAAGCATTGGGAAGTATTCCCACCTCAATCTCTTATTAGCTGCATGACCTTGGGCATATTACTTTATATCTTGAGTTCAATTCTTTTAAAATGCAGTAACGATAGTTCCCAATTCATAATATTTTTATGAAAAGTAAATGAAATAATTTATGTAGCTCTTAGCAACACGCTTGGCATATAGTAAACACCCAATTAAGTTAGTAAAATGAATAATAAGAGCAATAATAACAAATTCTAAATAGCTATGAGAGGTTTTAGTAGAAGCCTCTTATTTGTAATAGAGGATGTTCTGTGTAATGAAAATGCTGAATATGATAGAAATTAACATACACTAAATCAGATGATATTTATAGTGCTTTAAAATCCTTCTTTGAGGAAAAGGTTACATTCATATGGTTACCCTGGACACCTAGAAATGATTATTCTGTGCTTATCAGTGTATAGATGACAACTTAGTTTATATTATTAGTTATGTTCTGGAAGTTGGTAGAATGATGACACAGAACTCTATGCATTACTTAAGGGTCAGTTTTATTCACTATATTAGAGGCCCGGTGGGGTCCCTTGGCCCAGCCTTCGGGAATCGGGCTGGATCTGGCTCTTGACATTCCCTGAGGGGTCCCAGATTGCAAGAGGGTGGTTCTTGGGTGACGCACCCTGGAATGAGGCTCCCTACTCTGTGGTACCAGATGTGTCACCCAAGAACTGCTCTGCCGAATCACCACAGCTCAGCAACTCCTACATTGAGCATCTGCTTCCTGGTGGTCATTGCTCGTCATATATATATATATATATATATATATATATATATATATATATACACACACACATATATATATATCTACATATATCTACATATATCTACATATATCTATATCTATCTATCTATTTATCTATCTATATATATAGAGAGAGAGAGGGAGAGAGAATAGATTATTGGGAGGGCTATTATCTTTATGTAAAGAGATCTGAGTTTTCCCATTCTTCTATTTCTGACTGTGGAAGCTTCACATTATGTTGAAATATCTAGAAAGGTGGTGATTAATTTCAAGAAGAGCTAATTCTGCTACCAAGCTCCTTTCCCCTGTGACCATGAGTTGATTTAACTTCCATTTACTCTGGTTTGTCTATTGGAAAATGAGAATAATAGCAGGTTTCCTGATAGCTTGGGGCTATTCTGAGCACAAATAAGGGAAAAAGTGGTATTTAAGCATTTGTTTAGTCAGCAGACTTTTATTTAGTCTTTGTATCTGATTTCTATTCTCAGAGGGGTTATAATCCATAGTAGCATGGGCATGTACACACACAGTTATACTTTAGTATGGTAAATGCAACGAAGGGCATGCAATAAAACCCAGAAGGCTGGGCTATCACTTTAACAAAGGGAAATGGTACTTGAGGTTGGTATAGGTTCAGAATTTCAAGAAAAGGAAATTTCTAAAGCTATGATACTGAATCCTAGTTTGAAAGTCTTCATTTCTCTTAAGTTTAATTCTTTAACTCTTTAACTCTTTCAGTTTAATTTTATGAATTTATATTTGCTAAACAGCATTTCTAGTAATTGGAATTAGGGTTATGTTTCATTGAAAAAAATTTTTGAGTGTCTGTTATATGCTGAACATTGTACTAGGTGCTGTTTGTAATATGGAAAAAAATAATAACTAACCTTTGCCTCAAGATGTTATTACATAGTCGGGGACTCTAATGCATTAAGGAAGAATGAGATAAGTACACTAATAGGAATATGGGTAATATTTTATGGAGGGTCAGATCATAAAATGTCCATAACATACAGAAGATTTTATAGAAGAGATATTGGTATTTTATCTGGATCTTGACAAGATAATGTGACATGGAAGTGGAGTGAGCTTCATCAAATTCAGGGAAGCATAAAATTTCATAGATTCTCTGCATAGTCAGGATGGCTAGAGGATAGTATGTGAAGAGATGCAGTGGAGAAGTAGGTTGAAAAAGAAAATAGGTCTAAATTTTAAGGGTTTTACGCTTTATAGTGCCTACTAAGATCTCCACTTTAGAGTTATTTTTTTTCTCTCTTGGGAGTAAAGGATTTAGGAGCATGTTTTATTGATTTTTAGGCAACACCAAACTCAATGATTAGGTCCTCAGCTGAACCTTTAAGGATAACATTCATTATAGTGAAACTTGAGAGACTGGGGAGGACAGACGAGTTAGGAGGCTATTGCCCAAATCCTCTGATCAGGCAGGTGATAAAAGACCTTTAAGTTCAAGACTGATGAAAAAAGCACATACTGAAATTTTCTGTTCTCCTACAAAACTCAGAGAAATATGTAAAAGGGAAAATTATACAACCAGCGAATATATATTTCTATGAAAACATGGGATTAAGCAGAAGCACATAAGAGCACACAGGAAAATTCTCTCACAAAAAATAAGTTAGGGAATTTCAAAGACCTGAATAAGGTCAGTATCATTAAAGAGATCATATTAAGAGATGACTTAATACACACAAGAATTTACAATTGAGGAAACAGAGATAATAGAATAGTCTGAAAAGGCTTTAAAATGAAAAAAAAAATTAATATCTTCAGGGTGATGAATGTCTTTACATTTATACAACAAAATGCTAATTCAAAAAGTTATGTGCAACCCTATGTTTATTCCAAGATTATTTATAATAGCTAATGGAAGAAGTCTATATATTCATCAATAAATGATTGTGTGTATAAATATAATAGAATATTACTCAGCCATAAAAAGGAATGAAATCTTGCCTCTGACAACATGGATGGATGTAGAAGGTGTAAGTGAAATATGTCATCCAGAGAAAGACAAATACCATATGATTTCACTTACATGTGGAATCTAAAAAACAAAATAAATGAATAAACAAGATAGAAATGAACTCATAGGTATAGAGAACAAATTGATGATGGCCAGATGAAAGGGAGAGTTGGGGTGATGGGTGAAAAAGGTGAAGAGATTAAGAAGTTCAAACTATCAGTTATAAAAGTAGTCACACAGATGTAAATTACCAACATAGGGATTATAGTCAGTAATCTGTCTATATAATAGAGGAAAATGCAAATTAGCCAGGATGCTGTAATGTCACAATCAAACAGCAGTAACCTGAGGCTGCATGGCACCTAGCCTAGGCAAAGGACCTCAGGCTGCACCCCAGTCTGGGCATAAGGGGGTCCCATCTCCCTGCTGTTGCAGCCACTGGGAATTTCATCAACATAGATTCTAGTCCTTTCACCATGAAAAAATGACAACTTTCTTTAGGCAGTTTCAAGATGTGTCTTTCATAGCATATGATCTTCCTTCCTTCCTTCGTTCCTTCGTTCCTTCCTTCCTTCGTTCCTTCCTTCCTTCCTTCCTTCCTTCCTTCCTTCCTTCCTTCCTTCCTTCCTTCTTCCATCCCTCCCTCCCTTCTAACCTGAGGATATGTTTCCATTGATTTTTAGAGACTGTGGGAGAGAGAGAGAGAGAGAGAGAGAGAGAGAGAGAGAGAGACAGACAGACAGACAGACAGACAGACAGACATCAGTGTGAGAGGGACACTTTGGTTGGTTGCCTCCTGCATGAGCCCTGACCTGGGCCAGGCCAGGGAGGAGCCTGTAACCTAGGTGCATGCCCTTGATCATAATCAAACCTTGACTCTGCCTGTCAGCAGGCTGAGGCTCTATCCATTGACCCAAACCGGCTAGGGCAGGATATGATATTTCTTAGCCCTCCAGCAGCAGACCATTGTTTTTTCCTCCAGGAGTGTTGTGGAAAAACCCTAGATCACCTTCTTGGATTCTTATTACCCAGGTTACCAAGAACACTGCAAGTGGAGGTGCACAGGGAGCTTAGTCAATGAGTGGTCAGAAAACATGTTTATGCTCAAACTTGTTTGGCTCAGTGGATAGTTCCCCTGCTTTGTGTCCACTGGGCTAGGGGTGTGTCCCCGGCTGCTGGGGGCATGCCCCTAAGACTGGTGGTGATGCGTTCGCTGTGTCTATGGGCTGGGGGACATGGATCCAGGCTGCTTGGCATGGGCACAGTGGCCAGAGGTTGGGAACTTCCACCATGTCATCATGGCGACATGGCTCAAGTGGCTGTGGGGTGGGAACTTTACCTATCCCACTTGAGTTTGCGCTTGGCACCCCTGGCTGCTTGTCCTAGGACCCAGCTCACTTGGTGCTCCCAGCCACTCCTGACCTGGGTGTTCTGGGACCCTTGCTGCTCAGGGCCTATAGGCTTGGAGCGGCCTGGGTCCCAAGGATGTTCTTGGGACCCAGGCTCCTGGCTGCCTGCATATGCAAATGAACTCACCATTTTTTTTTTGTTGGGTTAATCTGCATGCTGACTCCTGATTGGCTGGTGAGAATAGCAGAGGTATGGTCAATTTACATGTTTCTCTTTTATTATATAGAATTTTTTTCTTAATATAAACAGTATTATGGTGGTTTTTTATTTGTTTGTTTGTTATTTGTTTTTGTTCTATTCCACATCCTTTCCAAAAGAAATGTGTAATTAAATCGTCATGGGTACTAAATTACTCTAATAAAAGGTCACTCAAGCAATCTGATATCAACTTAAAACATTATTTTAGGATTTGACCTCAAACTTCTAATATGGATAGAATCATCATAGTCACCAATTCTTAAAGGAATAGAGTTATTGATAGAGGAGAGTTATTAATTTTACAGAGTAATTGTTTTGTGTTTAAGGAAACATGCTGCTTTCATGAGGCAGTGGACATATAAGTACGATATATTTTTCTCTGTGACATTTCAATGATTGTTGTATTTCTGAAATAGTTTTTTTAAAAGCAGGACAGAATACAATATTTTTCTTGGTGTCTGCCTAGATGGTATGTTGAACTATAGTTTTTGTTCTTTTTTTAGAAAATGTCATTGAAATAATATTGTAAGATTAATTTATGATGATACTTATAATAATATTTAATGTATCCACAGCTTAATAAAAAGCCTCCTTCCCCAGCTAAGAAATATATCGTTATTAAACTACTACTCAGTGACATGATGTTCTTAGAGATCATTCTATTATGATAAATTCTTCTCAGCAGAAGTTCTGAATGTGCGAATGTTGACAGTTCTTTATTCAAAAGTTAGTAGCAGGTATTTTGTGTGTGTGTGTGTGTGTGTGTGTGTGTGTGTTTAAGTAGAAGAGATTAGGTATATTACTTATGAGTTCTTACATATGTATAAAGCTGGGAAAACATTTGTGGTCTTGCTGGCATTCTAAGATACATGATTTGAGTTCGGGAAACACAATTCTCAGTCTTCCAGGTGGCCAGGAATGATTCCCGATGTTTTTCGGTAGCTTCGGTGGATTGCACTGCAGTGGGGCCTCACCCCTGGTCTCAGGGAGGAGTCACTTCACATGGGATTAGGCTTTCTGCTCCAACTTGTCTTATGAATCCAAAAGCACCATTGAGAACTCGCCTGCCCATCTGCTTCTTTGTCACAAACACACCAGATGTGTTTTATATGTATATAAAATGCATTCTTCAAACAGGGGCATGCGTGCTTTCCAAGGGTTCTCATGCATGGGTAGTTTTAAGAATTTGCAGTGACACGCTGCTTTCAAAATTCGCAATTTCCACGTTTATTCTTTTCTAGAATTGCCTTAGACATTTCCTGCTTTTGTATGTTTGTTCCACCACTTTACAAAATAAAGGCCTACTTTTCATCTATGTGAAATATTAATAGAGGGCATTTGCCCCAGGATTAGAGACCTCCCGTGCACTAAAGAAAGGGATGATGAGAAATATTGGTTTTTGGAGGAGGGCTTGTTTAATGTTTAATCAAGGACACTTAAACCTGGTGGGTTTCTTGTCTTTCTGTAGTTTATATATATTTCTGATAAGAATGAAGCTGGGCTTTTCCAAGTAAGTTAGTGGTGCTAATTAAAAAAAAAAAAAATCCATGTTTTCCAGGACGAATAACATTTTAAAGATACAAATACAAATTTATATTTGTATTTGTGTAAAACTACAAATACATATTTCATGTGGTTTCTTTTAGATGCAGCATGGTTTTTTCAGTACAATAGTTAAAACCCATTTTATCAAGTATGTCATAAAACATTGATTTCAGTTAAAGTCAATCCTTATCTTATTTTGTCTTATAAAATATTTAATATTTACTATCTTTTATTAACAAGTTAATTTTCAAACTTGTGAAAATTTTTGGATGGCAGTTTTAAAATATGTAAAGGGGATTCATAATTTTTTTTCAAAATTATTTTACGGAGAATTTTGAATAACAGAGTATTTTGAATAACACTGAGAAAAAGCCTCCTTGAACATATTCTGGGATTGTTCAGAGACCTGGTTGGCCCCTTGCTCACACAAGCTTACCTCTTTTGGTGGGTACGCAGGCTGCTTTTAAAGGCCCACATTTACCCTGTACTCCCTCTGGGATGTCTGAAGCTCACTAAACGAATTTAGGAAAGGCAATGTCACAGTGCTGGTTTCCAGAAGACAGTTGGTTCATTCTAGAACTTCCCCTTTGCAGTGCCAAATACCAGAATTGTGACTAGTTAAGATTGCTGGTTGTGCTGAAGTAACAAATGATACCAACGTCTCAATGGCTTATAATGGCCAAGATGTATCTCTTGCTCATGCCACATGTGCACACGTGGATCAGCTGTGATTGTGCTCCTGTTGCCTTGAGAACTCAGATGGATACATCAGCCTCTGTCTTGGAAAGAGGAAACTGGGCACTCTATAGATGAGGTTATTGTAAGCATATCCCTTCAGCTCACTTTTCATTGACCAGAGCAAGTTCATTGGCTAAACCTGGTATCAGTGGGGGTGAGGAATATGGTCCTCTCTTTAGTAAGGTCAGTGGATATTGTCCAAACAAAATTTATACTGGGCCAATTTAAAAAGACAAGGAAGATTTTATTCAAAACTATTGTAATGGGAGAAGGAGACCTGAACTCAGTCTGTACCAACTCCATAAAAGAAAGGGTGGGAGGGTTTTAAGAGATGGAATGGTGGTGTGGGGATTATTGGCCTTCTATGTTTGCTAATTGGCTTTACCAAAAGGAAACATAAACTTCCATGTCTTTATGATGGGCAGTTTTATAAAGGTCTAGTAATAATTAACGTCGTTCTCTAATACTTTTTTAAATCGAATTTATTTAAACAATACAACAAAATTTAATCAACAATATAGTTGCCGTTGTTTTCTACTACTTGTGCCCAACACTCAGGAAGCATTTTAAT